TATTTTGAGAGGTGGCATGGGTAATAGTGAAGATTTTCTATTACACCAGGGCAGGAAGCTCTGCCACATACCAGCCCTATGACCTGGGCCTCCCTGAGCCTCGAACCGCCATGGCGCCTCTCCTTGAAACCTTGACGGGAGGGAAAGGAGATAGAGGAGAAAAGAGCTTCAGGACAGGTTCTGCCAGTTAGCGCTTCAGCCTAACGACAGTCATTATTCATAAACTATAACTGCTCATTCTCTGGGTTTTATTGCTCGTTAAGAGCTGAGTGTAACATTTTTAATTAGAGTCAGGAGTTGGATGCCCAAGAAAGAGACATGGAGAACATCTGAAATTCTGAACCTAAAATAAAACTCTTCAAACAGATTATTTTTGTAAGAATAAAGCTTTATATACTCATTGGGGAAAAAAAAAAAATCTTTTTTTTTTTTTTTTTTTTTTTTTAGAGTTCTGAGCCCATGAAGTTTGTTTTGAATCCAATAGTCCCATAATTCTGAGTTTTCCTGCTTCCTTGTAAAAAGCAGCCTTTCTAGGGTCTATGAGATGTTTGCATTTATACTCTCAACATTGAAGAATATTTTCACACCCACTATCTTGTGACCTTGCTTCTTCCTAAAGGGCTTTTGGGCAGGTATGGGCACCTTTTGCGTGAGTTAGCCAGCTGCATTTCTTTGCTGTGAGAATTCTCAGAGCTTCTACATGTGAGTGTGCCCTGGGAACCCTGGGAAGGGGAAAGAACTGTCAGCATTTCTCCAACTTGCGTGACCCACGTTTTATCTGTAGCATTTCTCATAGGGCTGGTGGGGAAATGCTGCCTTAGGGATACACTTTAAAAAGGAAATGTTTTTCTTAGGGGGTGTCTGCCCTTACCACACTTACAATATAAACAAAGGAAAAGCAGAGAAAGTCGGGAGGGGGGTGTAGGACAAGTCTAAATCTACGATGGGGACAGAGCTGCCTTGGAAAGATCCCATGGCTTTTTAAAAGACCATCTTATTTGTCTTATTCATCTTGTGATTGTTATAAAGACTGAAATATCATTCCCAGGCAGCCTGCGCGGGCTCTGGATCCATTTGCTAGGCCCTGGTTCCTCTCAAACAGCTCAGGACGGCTGTACTGAATTGCCTGGCTGTACTGAGTTGCCAGATATTAGCTCTTTTTTCTTCCTTCCCACGTGTCTTCAGCCCCACTCTGCCCCCCTCCCACAGAGGTGCTGTTTGCTGAGATTGTTTGTCTAAACCAGGTGGTCTCAAGGAAAAGCTGGCCGGCCGGCCCTGTGCAGCAGGGCATGGGGGTGTTAACGTGAGTCATGTGGGGCTGCAGAACATCTGGGCTGTCAGCAACCCGAGGCTCTATCTCTGCTGAACATGAAAGGAAGCAGCCGCAGAACATTTCCCAGATGGACGGATTGGGTGGATTACATAGCAGATTAAGAGAATTCTTATTTGGTTGCCCTGAAGAGTAGGTGTAAACTTGCTTCTCACTTGCTAAAAGCAAGAAGCCAGTATTTTGAGAAGCATTTCTTCACCCATATGACCAACTCTGACTGTCTCGTGGGTCCCAACCAGGGATGAGGTTGCCCTCCTCACTGCCCCCAGGGGATGTTTGGCAATGTCTGAAGACATTTCTGGTTGTGCAGACTGGGGTTGGGGAGTGGGCAGGTAATACTACTGGCATCCAGCAGGTAGAGGTCAGTGATGCTGCTGAACATCTTAGAGTGCACAGGGCAGTCCCCACAACAAAGAATTCTCTGGCCTCAAATAGGAGTATCACTAGGGCCAAGGTTAAGGAATCCTGCTCCAGAACACACTGCAGAATTACACAGTGCTGGAGTCAGAAATGCCAGGGTCCAAATCCTGACTTCTTCACTTAATGTCTGTGTCGCCTAGGCAGATCACTTACTTCTTTCATTTGTGAAAGGAAGCTATTAACATCTACCTTGTAAAGCATGTAGTATGGTATAAGGCACTTAAAACAATAAGATTTTACCATCATCACTCTGTAAAAGGTCCTGAGTTGGCCCCACGAAAGACAGGAATTTGATAGAAGCAAATAGAACCTCATGAGCCAGGCACTATCATATGTGTAGTAGATGGTGGGGAGAGTTTGCAGAAGAGAAAGAGCATAGAGACATGGTCCTAAATCCCATAGCATCTAGAACTGTGTTGTCCAATAGGACTTGCCTCAATGATGGAAATGTGCCATGTCTGTGCCATCCAACACGACAGTTACTAGCCCCACGTGGCTAGTAAGTATCTGAAATGGTGCTACTGCAACGAGAGAACTGAATTCTAAATTTTATTTAAGTATTTAAAATCAAGCTGCTACACATGGCAAGTAGTTCCCATATTGGACAGAGCAGGTTTAGAAAGGGAAATGAGATTGTCATAGACCAAATATTGATACAGTGTGTCTGCGGGAGGTGCACAGCTGGGGCACAGGGGTTGAGGGGACGAAGGTACCACTTCTGACCAGGCCCTTCATGAAAGAGACTCAAGAAAGGTGGGCCTGCGGGATGGACAGGTTCTTGACAGCAAGAATGGTGGCCAGCTACGGGGAGCAAATTCCAGGCAGAGGAAGCATGTGGGCAAAGACTAAAGTAGGGATGGAGGTCGTTAGGTCATAAGACAAGAATACAGCATCTTCTGAATGCAACAAATGTCACATTTGAATGTACAGCCCCCCAGACAGACAACATCAAAGGGAGCTAATGTGACAACACATCTTGCCGTAAGCCCGGGACACTCAAACACAAAATGGAAAGGAAATGACTTGGAAAATAAAGAAATGCCATGTTGGGGGGGGGGTGGTGGTGAAAATTCTTACTGACTCTACCAGCAAGTGGTGGATGTGGGTCTTGAACTTGGGTCTGGGTGACTTTCAGTACAATGTCTTCCACTCTATCGGAATGAGAGCACCGGGTCTGCATGTGGGCACAGAAGTTGTGGAACTAATACAAGAAGCTGGAAGATTGCCGAGGACAAATTTCGACAATTTGACAATTTGCCCCAGGCTGCTCTGGTTTCTGGAACCCAGTTAAGGACGGGATGACATGGATGGGCAGAGGATAATTGGTACTACAAATCTCTGTCTCAATCCAGTTTTACTGCAGATATCCAGACACTGCCTAAAACGTTTCCTAGAAATCTATTAATTATCATGACTCTACCAAGTGGTACTTATTTAGTAGCTGCTGGGGCTGGACTAAGAGTGGCAATTGCTTTGGGGATTTCATCACCAAGGCAGGAGAAGACAATCTTCTCATGTGAAAACTCCGGTTTGCAATGGAGTAGGAACATTGATCTTTTTACATAGGGAATGTGTGCAAAATATGCCAAGCTGTAATGTTCACTAAAGACAAAGTACTGTCAGTAAAGTAAACTTTTCTCAGGACAGGAGGAAATCATCTGGTACAAACCCAAACTTTACCAGTTTTGGTGACTGGCTAGAACCAAGGATTCTTATTGTAACTGGAAAACAACTATGGCTCCCCAAGGCAGGTGGATTTTAAAGTTGCATATCTTAAAATACCTGGCTCAGTGAACAACCAACAATTTTGACAAATAAAATGGAAATCAAAATTTCATAGTCTGTGGGTTGCCTATTACATTTTGGAAGGAAAAAAAATAACAAAGATAACTCAAAATAAATATTTGGATGTTAAAAAAAGAAACAGAGAGGAAGAGATATAAATCTCAAAAACATCTTTGGAAAACCGAGCATCGCACAGAAAAGTTAAAATATTAGAAAAACAGAAGCTCAATGACATTATTAATCTGTGGTTGGTTTAATTCATGATTTCAGTCATCTGGTATTACTACAATAGTTTCATAACTTAAAGGGAAATTTCAAAATAACTTTTAGGTCTCCTCTTGTGTAGGAGTTAAGGAGTTAAGGTTTATTCGGTGTAGACCCCAGGACAAGAACTCCAGGTAACAAGACTGTCATTTTTCACCTCCCTGGTTTACAAAGCCCTCAGCCCTTTCTGGGCTCAGACACTTTGGATTAAGTTGGATGTGTTTTCAAACTACTTTGCCTCTTAATTTTTAAACCCTTGTTTAGTTAAATAAAATTTAATCCATATGTTTCTGATTCATTTACACTTAACTCATCAAAATGCTGTTTCATAAAAAGCTCTTTGATGTTCAAATTGCCTTTGGAGCTATTTTTAATAAGATTTTTTTTTTCCCCTAAGCTTCCCTACTTAGAAACAGAAAGTTCCATTTCATTGCTATTTAACAACTAGGGGTCCAAACGGGTGGGTTCAGTTCATTATTTAAATGAAATAATGTATGTAAAATGCTTCATAAATTCTAAAGCAATCCATGCCTGTTAGTCATTACAGTTGCTATTGTGGTTATTGCGACCATGCAGAGACATAAGGTTTGAGGTTTCTCCTTCCGGCAGTTGGCTGGACTAGATCATCTTGTAGCTCCATCTTACTTATAACATTTTCTTATTCTAGACTTTCCCATTCTTAGCAACACATACAATAAACACGTCAAATGGCTGGTGAAGTAATAAGGAAGTATGTCAGACAGAGCCACCCACACAAATTGGACCCTTTCTAGTTGAGGTTTTACGTGGACCTACTGTGTGGACCATGATCTTCGTGGGGGGTTCAGGGTCTGGTTGGCTTTTACTGACTTAGGGGGTCAGCATCTCCTTGGTGTGTTATTTGTATGAACTGATAGACTCTGACAAAAAAATGGTTCACTGAGAAGGAAGTTTTGTGAGCAGGCACCTGGGGGTAGGAGGGGAATAACCAATGAGAGGCAGGGTCTGTTCCCCAATCCCATGGATGCATTGTAAGCCTTGAGGGGAGCTCCATGGAAAAGCTGCAGTTGTTTCTGGGGGGGGGGGGATCTGGAAAAATGGGCACATACAGCATTGCTTAGGATCCTATAAAAAAAATGTGGGGCAGAGCCTTCTCCCACTTCTGGGTGGAACCCAGCTCTGTCTTGGGCTCATGGGAGTTCTTACACATTGATGACAGCATCCCCTGGAACAGTGGGACAGTGGCGGCTGAGATTCTATTGCCTGGTAGGAGATGGCAGAGAAGTTTTGGCAATATGCGCAGTTGCCTGGAGCAGCATCCGCCAGTTAAAGTCGGCTTAAGCGCCTGTGAGCCTCCCCTGGGGTCTCTAGAAACACTCTGCTGCTGCCTATGTGTGGGGATGTCCCAAGGGGTCTCTATGATGTCATTCCTGGAATCTGATGAGGCTTCCATGTGAAACTAGCAAAACGGCCATTTTGCTTCTCCTGTCTTAACAAACGCGGAGAAAGTCTGGACCACTCTAACGAAAGTGAACAGGAAACCTTTGTCTCCTGGAAGTTGACCCCATCTTGTGTGTGAAGTATATACTTTCAACTTTTGCATGCTCTCCCTATGGCTCGGTCGGTTGCACACCAGGCTGCCTTTAGGAATTTGGAACCAAACATGAAACTCTTTATCACACAATGGAGGGAACATTGCTCTGCCCTTTCGCACATCAGTCTTCCCTGGTGAATGGCTTCCTAGCCTTCTGATTCTTGCCGTATGGAACAATTGGCCCCTTCAGTTAACTTGCCAGCAGTAATCAGTTATTTCTCCTGGCCATAAATTTTAACCATTCTTTTTTGAGGGGAAGAAATTAAAGTAACAAAGGGAGGTGACTATAAAGAACAGAACTGTCAAAATAGCAAATGTTTGAGTAATTTGTTGGGTTCCTGGTTTAGGGTTGACTGATTTTAGCACTAATTTTCGGTTTGGAGTATTTCTTGGGACAAATAATCCTTCGTTTCATCCACGTCTCCAGTGAAGATTTTGAGCGCAAGTGTGGAAAAGCTTGTAAGAGAGCTTTTATTATAAGTCAACAACTTAACTGATTTTTTTTTTTTTTTTGCTTTTTTTAGGGGAGAACTCTGGTATCTGCTTAGCTATCTCCTTTTTCATGAAACAAACCAGATTTTTGACAACACCGACTGAACTTGGTCCATTGCAGACATTGCCCAAGAAACCACCTGGCCTAGCTACATTGTAATAACTGCTCTGAGCATCTAATTCCACCAGGTCTTGTTTGAAAAAGAGAAATTCCCCAAATGACTAATGCTTTTAGGTCCGGCGGCAGTTTTTCATTGTCCTCAAAGCACCTGGTGTAACCTACTTGCTTTCAATTCTTCTGAGAGCCTGTGGATTTGAAATGAAAAAAAGAAAATAGGATCCCCTAAGTCCACAGGGCAAGGCAATCTGCTTTCATTAAAGAGAACTCCAAATGTTTCCGAACATGTGGCCCACTAAGCTCCCCCGTCAGGCTCAGATTTATGTATTTGCTCTGGAACCAAGATTTTTGTACATGAGGCACAATACCTTGGAGTATTTACAGCGTAAGCTATTTTCCTAAAGCAAACATCTGCACCCCCGGGCTCGGTAAACCCCTTCTGTCCCCAGACACAGGAGCCAGAACCTTCTAAGGGAGCAGGTGTGCCTTAACTGGGAGGAGGCCTTCCTTGGGCCTGATTCCCTGAATGTCTGAACATTTCACCCCTTCCAGAGATGCAATCTAATGACTTCTGAGAGCCTGTGGAAAGGCACTTTTTTTCTTATTTTCCCCTTGATAAGAAAAATGAAAAAAAAAAAAAGGGTCCAGTTACTCCAATCTAAAGGGAAGGGCTGGGTAGCTTCAAGAGGAAGCTGTAGATAAAGTCTGAGCTGTTACAAAGGTACTTTATCTTCTTTTTCTTTTTCTTCTTCTTCTTCTTTTTTTTTTTTTAAATTTCCCTCCCTCTTTTCTGGCAGGGAGGGTGGAGGTCTTGATCAGGAGCAGGAATTTAAAAGGGAAACAAAAGGCAAAACATGAAGCTGATTTACTGTCTGGAATCTCAATGGTTCTTTTTGCTTGGGAGAAACTCCCAGCAGGCTTCCATAGGAGGAAGTTCAAAATTGACCACATTCCTGCAAACCGGCTTTCAGAAACCACACAGAGGGAAGGAGCGATTCATTTACTTATACATCCCATCAATATTAACTTATTTATTTTATTAATATTTTATTAATTTTTAAATTTATTTATTTATTTATTTATTTATTTTTTAAAATTTTATTTATTTATTTGACAGAGAGAGAGACAACGAGAGAGGGAACACAAGCAGGTGGAGTGGGAGAAGGAGAAGCAGGCTTCCCGCCGAGCAGGGAGCCCAATGTGGGGCTCGATCCCAGTACCCCGGGATCATGGCGCCCCAATTCTTAAATTTTTTTAAAGATTTATTATTTGAGAGAGAGGTGGGGGAGGGGCAGAGGGAGAGGGAGAGAGAGAATCTCAAACAGACTCCACGCTGAGCGCAGAACCCCATGTGGGGCTTGATTTTATGACCCATGAGATCGTGACCTGAGCCGAAATCATGGTGGTCGGGTGCTTAACTGACTGAGCCACCCAGGTGCCCTCTCATCCCATCAATATTTATTAAGAACCCATTTGGTATTGGGGACTGAGGTTACTGTCATCATGCATTTGGATATCATGCCTGCAAGGGATCAAGCAAAGATGTCTCCTGCATGAGCTGACCCCAAACCCTGGAAAATTTCAACTATTCCTTACCCCTTCTGGAGAGCAGACATGATGGGTAGCTGTTAAAGTGGAAATGCTTTGTGAGGATGGTTGCTATTTTTGTATTACATTTAAAAATCTTAGTTTGAATTCTGGGATCCAATGTAACACAGTATCTGGGGGAATCATAACTGAACAGTCAGAAGAGTTGAGTACTTTTTCTGGCTCTGCTAATAACTAGCTGGGTTATCATGTGTTAATGACTTTCCTCCTTGGGGCCTCAGTTTCTCCAAAAGCCCAATGAGGGGGAAAGGATTTTGAACTGTCTTCCAGCTTTGTGATTCTACAACTTATTAAAAGTTGAAAAGCAGATATCTAGACAAAATGTGATGGGTGGGCTGAAGTGCTTGGCAGGTGGTCTGATCTAGAAGAAAAAAAGTCAGAAAAGAGGGAGTCCTACACACATGGGTTAATGAAGCCCACTAACAATCTCTCAGGATGACTGGGGACAGTGGAGTGGTGGGAGAAACATCCTGGGATGTGGAGTCAGGTTACCTGGGTTTGAATTTTGGCTCTACCAGTATGTAGCCCGAGACCAGTTATTTACCTTGTCCAAATCTCGACATCCTCATCTCTACAATGGGTTAATATTAGTGCCTGCCATATTGAATTGTTGTGAGGATTGAGTCAGACTGCCTGTCTGGCAAAGGGTGCCAGGACACAGTTTGTTCTCTGTATTGGGGATCTTCATGCTGTGGTCTGGAGACTCTGCGGAGTCTGTCAGGGTTTTCATGCTAATACTTAGATATTATTTGCCCTTTCATTCACTGGAGTTTTCCAGAGGCTACCTGATGTGTGATATCATGACAGATGGAATGCAGAAGCAGTTATTAGAATCCAGCTGCCTTCTGTTAAGCTAACCATTAAAAAAATGAGCAAAAATGTGGAATAAGGCTACTCTTCTCTTTTGTTTTAGAAAATATAGTTATTTTTCTTAAAAGTATGCATTTTTTGTTAACATGTAGTGAGCTTAGTATTGCCACTTTAAATACATGAATTACTTACCACATTCTTAGTTTGGATTTCTAACATGGCAAACAGCAGTAGCCCTAACTCATATAAACAAGAGCTATTTGGAATTGTCAATAATTTTTGGTAGCCCTAACTCATATAAACTAGAGCTATTTGGAATTGTCAATAATTTTTAAAAGTGTAGTTTTAAAAATAAAGAAAAAATATATTCTGCATTAGTTTCCTATTGCTACATAATTGCTGTAACAAAACACCACAAATTTAGTGGCTTAAACACAACACAGATTTACTAATGGAATGTGCTGGAGGTCAGAAGGCTAAAATAGGTACCTATGACTATGTTCCTTCTGGAGGCTCTAGGGGGGAATCTGCTTCCATGTCCTTTCTAGCTCCTGAGACTCCTACATCCCTGGCTTTTGGCATCCGTCCTCCATCTTCAAAGTGGGCAGTAGGGTCTCTTCAAATCTTTCACCGCTTTTGTGGTTACAACGTCTGTTGTCTCTCCGATCTCCTGCCTCCCTCTTATAATGACCCTTGTGGTTATACTTGGCTCACCTGAATAATCCAGGACAATCTCCCCATATCAAAATCCTTAGCTTAATCACACCTGCAAAGTCCCTTTTGCCATCTAATGTAAGTTATTCACAGGTTCTGGGAATTGGGACAAGGACCTCTTAGGGGCCATTAATTAGCCTACCACCATTCCAATTTTGAGTTATTTACAAATTGGATCTTTAACATCCAAACAAAACAAAATTATTAAAATTTATAATGGTAGTACATACAAAGTTGAGTGCAGATATATCTTTTTTACTCATTTTGTCAACAAATAGTCTTCAAGATCTACATGTAAGTCTTTGCCCACTCTTTCAATTGCCAGCTTGAGTCCTCTCCTTGATGACATCTTCTCTACTGGCCTCAGGAAGCTTTCCTTTTCCCAGCATCTACACAGAGCCTGGCATGGAGTAAGAACTCCACAATTGTTAGCTGGCATTACTGTAATTACTTCTCCATTTATCTCCCCTCTACTAGCCTCAAATCTGCCATTCCCTAAAACACGTTCCATAAAACATTTGTCCCAAGTGACTGTATGACATAAAACAGTTCTATGGTCAAAACACTTCAGGAAATGCCGTATATCTTATTTTTCTTTTTGGAGATTCATGGTGCACATCAGCATATTAAAGGCTCTGAGAAGTCCTATAGTGTCGATGGGTGGAGGTGAGGTTAATTTAACACGACATTTTTAAAGCAATCTCTTTCCTATAAAATTGATGCACGTTCCATTGTCAGAAACACTGCTCTACACTCCTTGGGTTAAGGACCAAATTGTGTCCTTCTTTGTATCTTTTTTGGTAGGCCTGTTCTTGGGATACTTATAGGCACTTGATAAATATATGCTGAATGAAGGCATTGACCAAGGGGAAAACAACGTTGGTAAGACAAGTTCTCTTCCCTCAAGTTGCTAAAAATGAGTCAGACAGATGTGTAAATAATTATTTATATAGTAGTAGGTAAATGAAATGTGGTCTAGCCTAAGATTGCTAATAAGAAGGAGAAAATCAAATCCAAACGCTGAAGACCAACCTAAGAGTTAAGCAGAACTGAAGCAGGTAATTCAAGCAGCCCTTTGAACTTTGTGGACTGCCCTCTCTCAAAAAGGAAAAAGAAAATTAGATCTGTGTGGCACAGAGCAGAATAGAAAGAAATAGCTGTCTTCATATAAAGAATGAAAATTATTATAGAAAAGATTAAGCTAGGATTAAAACCCCAAGTCATATCTCTATTGCATCCCGAATGATGGCTGAGAACCCAGTACTCACATCCAATTGTGCCTATGAACGTGCAGGCTGTCAGTTTGAGGGAACGAGCCCATAGCTCCCTGCCAAAGGCTGAGCATGAGTTTCCTAATCCCAGCTGCCATCATTTATCAGAAATGAAGGTTCTCTTGACATGGGCAGCAGTGATGGCCCCACTCTGAATGGCAGCAAAGGCCAGGGCAATCTCTGGTTGAACCAGCCATCCCAACAGCTGCTCTGCAGCCTTGCTGTGTTCCCCTGCTGGTTGACTCTGAGAGCTAATTCAACCAAGGTCACAAAGGGGCAACAGGCAGTCTTTTCTATATGCTCTGCTAAAGCCACTATGTGGAGGGAAAACAAAAACAAAACTAGTTCAAGCAGGAGGAGAAAGAAATTGGCATGGCTCAGTGGAAGGGGTGAAGGATTTGGAGGCCACCACCAGAAAGATGTAGGTTTGAATCATGGTTGTGTCATCTCTGATCATGAGCAAGTTACTTAACCTCTATGAGTTTGTGCCTTCAGTTGATAAATTTGCATATAACTTCTATGTTGGGTTGTTGTAAGTCTTAGAAATAAGTTTTATCATGCATATATAGTAGGCACTCAATAAATAATAGTAGGATAGCATTATATAATACACAATATTTACTAATATATAACAATATTTTATATTAAAATAAAATATGCTATAGTAAAATATAATAAATGATAAATTTATAATAGACCATAAATAACTTATTAATAAACAATGGTGGGATAACAAGTATGAATTACTAATCTTTATTCCCCTATCCTTCTTCTAGAATTTGTTTTTATCCCATAACCATGTTCCTCATTTAGGAAGTTGTCCATTCTGGTTCACTGCCTCAGAAAACAGAGTAGCAGAAAAGCAGATAAAAAGGAG